TAAAACCTCCCCTAAAGTTTGATGTAGCTGTATCAACACATCCTGCCAGGGCCACACAGCCAGGATCAGTCCTGTGTGATGATAGTCAAACATGAGTCATGGTTCCAGCTGCTAGTGGGAACCTACTTTTCTGAAATATCTCACAGACTTATATGAAAGCTGAATTCAAGGGCCAGTGACAATTATGTTTTCAGTTTTTGATCTGACTAGATCTCACGTTGTGCCTCTTTAAAAGCAGACCTTTTCTTAACCTACTAAAGCTTAGGTGCCTGTTCTCACTTTTCAGCTCAGCAGCATTCAAACGTGGGTTAGGCTGCTGAGACACTCAGTCCAACTACTGCCCTTTTCTTTCTACGCCACAGAAATCATACAGTGCCCAAGTACCTGAAGAACAAGCATTGCGCTTACGCTGTATGAGCCATTTGTAGCACTCACCCTCCTTAGGCCTGGAGTAGTATTTGCCGAAGGCATTGTCTTTGGGTATATCTGGGTACAGAAATCTCAGTGGATTTTCAGGAATGTTTTCAGCTGCCATCACTTTGTAGTTGCGAATGATATCGGGGAAAGTAACAGCGGAGAGCTCCTTCTTGGTGTATGGCTCTACCGAATGGAACTGGGGCTCTGCAGATGAGAGACACAGCAACTCTTAAAGGTGGTTTCAAAGCTTTTTCTAAAATTGCCCAGAAAAGCTGCAGCCACTTCCACAAATTCAAAGGTCATGTGAGCAAAGGGCTTACCTGGATGACACCTGCTGTGCTGCAGGTAAATATTTAATGACTGTCAAAGGGAGCACAGTTGTTTTGTGGGGTAGGAAGGCATATGGGGGAAGGGTATAGTGATGGCCCTTCGTGTATTTTATATTCAGAATGACTGAGGTGACCTGTCTGTGGAAATTAGCTGCAATATTTAATTAACTAATTAAAGTTGTGCTACCTTTTCAATCTTCTTTCAAATTATGTCGTTCAAACTCTTATTGCCTATTAGGAAGTTTGAGCCTAGTATACCACTTGGGGCTCTGATGAATCATGAAAAGAGACAATACCTCCCTGAATGCTCTGAATACTATCACCCTTCTTTGCTCAATTTTTGGATGCCTCGGGTATACAGGCAGTGAAGGGAAAGAAGTCATTCAAGGAAGTTCAGCAGTTTCTCTTCCAGCTGTTGTAGGTTTTGGGCTCATCCAAGTGAAGTGTCAACAGCTGCAGCATCCTGGCAGGTGGGGTTGATTTAAGTAGTATGAGAAGGGAAGAACCCTGATTGGATAAAAGGGAGATTATATCTTTTTACAGCTTTTAAGCCTCCAGACTTCCTTGAAAGAGGGTGAGAGAGTAGCCCAGCTAACTGAATAACCAAGCTCTTCATCTATCCTCTTTCTGCAAATAGGAGGAAGGAGAACTGCTAGGAAAATTAAGTAAGTGAATATTTGTTTTCCCCCCCTTACCGGGGGAGAATGTGGTAAAGATGTGTTGGACCATGAGTTAAAGAAAGCTGTTTGAGAAAAGTGTTGCACACAAGGTGAAGTTGTGGGAAAGAATGATAGTACAGAGGGCTGAATGTGGTTGTAGTCAACTTTTCTTGGGAGAGAAATCTCTGATAGGGAAGGTGATAACAGGTTTGGAGGGAGATGCAGGTATTTATGTACTAAAGGTGTCTTGCTAAAAGAGGCCCTAAGGAGGCAGGGGAGGCAGCCTAGGCAGTTTGTCCTCAATGAACTTCCAGGCCAGAAGGAGTACCTGGGAAGTGTTGCTAATCCCAGCTGAAACCCTGAACAATCCACTGTGTGGCTTAAGAACTACACCAAGTAAGGCATGTGTTGGCTATGGCTTGTGGCCTGTTGCTTGTAAGGGTGGGGACCGCTCAGGTGGTGTATTGTATTGGTTCTCAGTGTGAAAGAGAAGAGCGTGAAGGCTTCTTGTTCTGATGTAAGCTTATATTTTGAAGACAAGACGTTCTCTGTTACTGACTTACCAATTTGAGATCCTTCTACCCAAGTAAATGTGATTGCTCCCTCTCTGCTGCTTTCACTGAATCTTAGTAAAAACGTTCCTGGACTCTGGTCCTTCAATAAAGCACGTTCCTTCTCTTTACTGATGAAACCCATGATGCAGCTGTAATGTTGAAAAGAAAAAGCTGAGTTTACTCCTCAACAAAAATCTAAGCTGTGCTGGGCTAGATAGCAAAGCTAAAGTACTTGTAAAAGCCTCCCAGAGGGCTTTGTCCTGTGGATGGCTATGAAGTTAGCAGTTGGACTGACAGGCTAGAGCTGCCCTGTGGAAGCCATGAATTGCCACAGCTTCTCTCAGCACTCTTCCTTTTGCCTGGTGGCTTATACAATCATTTTTCTGAGCTTAGTATAAAAGAGATTGCCTTTTCCTGTCAAAACTGGGCTGTGGAAGCAGAAGTGAAGTTATGTGTGTGCAACATCATCAGATCCCAGCTAGCAGTTTTAACTTCAAAAGCGTATTAAGGAACAGTTGTTTCTCCTCTTTGGCTGATGAAACAAAGTCTGCCAGCTACTAGATTGCATCATACAGATGTGGGTTTTGTTTTATTCCTTGTACACGTTTCCTAGAGGAGCTGTTAAGTTTGTGTGATTTTCAACCCTCCAAATACAACTATGCTTAGCAAATGTGTAGGCAAGGAGGCTGGTGTGGTAATTCTAAGAAATGGATTGGTCTGAATAGGTGCTGTGGAGGGAGTTGTACAAGCCAGCGCTAGGGCAAAACCTGGTCAAACCCCAACGGCTTTTTTTAAAAGGTCAGAATTTCTTTGCACTGCTGCTTATTCCTCAAAATACTCCATCGATTAATGAAGTTTTGAGTACTACTTGGAAAGTACTACTGCTACTTTCCTTCTATGCATTAAATTAGGAAAAGTGGTTTTTGCACAAAAACTACTAAATAGTCATGATTTTTCTTGGGAATTTCAGGTGCTGTAAGCTGGCCTGTTTTACATGTTTTGGGGGTTTTATGGGGTTTTTGGGTGTGGCTTTTGTTTTAAATGGCATGCTTTAGGTAACAAATCTGTTGGGTAGCAACTGTATGGTGTATAATAATAATCTTTAGCCTTCCCATCCCTCAAATATTAAGAAAGGCAAGTGATCTTGAGGCTGTTCTTTTTTTAGGTCTTGAGACCTATTCTTTTGTATACAAGTGGAACCTGTATCCTAACGAATACTATAGATCTGTCTCTTTCCCACTTGAGTATCTTTGCAGTTTGCAAGAGGTTTCCCTTTTTGCCTGCCTAGAAAACAAAGACCTGTGACTATCCAACAATGCCAGCTAAGAGAAGAAAAACTAATAGCACTAAATCTCTAGTTTTGATTATATTTCTGGATTTAACTTGCACTACTTTTTTCTCTTAAACCCTAAACAGGGAATTGCTCTCATAACCGAGAGCAATGAGTAATGTTCTTCAAGGCTGTATACTATCAAAGCCACATGCTAAACCAATTCTGTACCCAGCCATGGTGATGAGGAACACCGGATGAGAGAGAACTGCAACTCTGCTTCAGTAGTGGTGGCAAAAGATCCTGCTGCACTGGAATCTGCTTAGCTAAGAAATATGTAGGCTTTGGGCAGTGAAACAAGGCTTGTACTATAAAGGGCTTCAACAGAACTCATCTGGAGCTAGGGGGTAATAATTTGAAACCGGCTGCTGAACACAACTAGGCAGAGCAATCTTGCTGTTGTAGATCCTGCAAACTCGTGGGATACTAGGATGCTCTGCTGTGAGTGTGCCTCTGACTGGGTGCCTTAATGTGGCTAAACCTAAAATGCAGGATTGTGACTCTGGCTGAACCTGTTTCTGGCAGCAGTTAACTTTTGCTTCTAGTATTACTGATTTCCAAAGTAACTAGCCAGTATCAAAAGGAAAATGGAGCTGGTTTTCCATCTGGCAGTGTCTTACTAATTACTATGTTAAAATCAGTAAAGACTACTCTCTGGACTCATAGTGCAGATACAGTTCAGACTCTGGCTGCTGCCACCTAGAGGAGGTTCACAATATGTTTCCTTGTGGGAAGGTTTTTAGTGTGTGTGGTTTTTTGAAGATGGATGATCATTTTATGACTTAAACTTTGTAGTTTTAGTCCTTCCTGTCAAACACAAAAGAGGCTCTGTTCTACGGTGTGGAAAGAACCTACTTATAGTGAGAGCGGAGGCAAAAAAAAAAAAATTAACATTCAAAGCCTTGCTCTGTGACTCCAATGGGACAGCTTGGTTATCTGATGCTTTTGCTTTAAGCAATTGCCTCATTAAAGACTTCCTCACTGTTAGAATTCATTTGGCTCAGATTTTTCTGGTTGCAAGTTCCGCTTTATTGGATCCAAGGTATCTGCACAAACAACTTCCCAACCTGAGGATGCAACTGCTAGCCTAAATGAAAGGTCTGAGGCAATGACCACATCTTTAACTTCACTCAGGTCTTACCCATCATTCCAGAGACACAGGAGGTGTTTCTTAATAAGCTCCAGGATTCCCTCAATCCACAGCCAAAAGGGGAAATTTTTATCATTTATATTTTCCTGAAATTCAGAATATGGGAAGGCAGGGGTGGGAGAGGGGAGAACAGGGATAACGAAACATGAGTTTTGTTAAATAGAGAGGAAGCAAGCTCTCAATCCTTCCAGTATCTACTTGTTCTTGTATTTTTCTCCCCTTCTTTCTTCTTTCCCACCACCCTTGTATTCTCTTATGATCTGCCTCCTTCCTGTTTCCCTACTCCAGAAGGACAGAAACTATTGGGAATGAAGCATATATTGAACCTTAAGGCAAGAGGCAATGTGAGAGAAATGCCTGTCTGAGCCTACAGTACCCACAAACATTTGATCTGTTGTTTCTCATGCAACAACACTGGTCTAAGAGCAGACAAAAGGCTCTGGTTCCTGCCTGGGCACTGTCCTTGTTGGAGCTCTTGGACATCCAAACCCATCCCATGGGGCTTTCAACCAGGCTGGCTAGCAGAACTAGAGACACTTTCTGTTCAGACTCAGATTTCAGTTCCTCACAAGACACTCATTAATGAACTTGACTGCTTGTAGGTGACCAGAGCTTCGCCTCTTCCCCTGGAGTCTGCTCCTCTCTGCTGTCATCTCCTGTTTATCTATACCAGTTTAGGGTCTAAAGACGAAGAAAGTGTGAAGAGGAGTCCTGTCTTTCTGCACCCAGGGTTATGAAATCTCACGATTTGGCTTTCTGCTATCATGCTGACCCTCTTGGCTGCCCTGTGCTAATCCTCACCCTAATCCAGTTGCCCCTGGTCTGGGAAATGTCCTTCACTATGACAAAGAGGCATTGCTCATCTTGCTGGTTGGGGTTTTTTTTGACACTTTCTGTGATAGTTAACATGGAAAACTATTCTATTAATAGCAATTACATTAATAATAATGAAGATGCTGTGTTTGAAAGATGCATTTTTCTATATAGTTTACATGGCTCAAAAGCAATCTCAAAATCATCTCTTCCTGGCTATTACAAGCACTTTTTCCTCCTGCTTTTGCTACTTTAACCTCAGCACCAAAACCTCCCACAACTGTGTAAGCTCTAGAATAATTAGGGTAAACTATTGATAAAGACAGAGCCCTGAAAAAAAAAAAACCACATGAAAAAACAAAACAAGACAAAGCTCCCACTTCCATCTCCAATTTTAAACTAACTTCATACCTTGCAGAATCTTGTCCAAGGAATAAGGCCATCATGAGATCCTCCACTTGTTGGCCCTGAACAGAATAAATAGGCTTCCGTCATGTTCCATAAGTTACTTAGTAAGACTGAAAGGAAAGTACTTAGAGCACCAGGTTCTGAGTGTTTATTTACAACTCTGAGCTGTTGGACTAAAAAGAAATGCAAGACTGCAGTATTTTCATGGCTAGTGCAGGGAGAGCTTGCAGACTTCCCCTCTGGAGAAGTTTGCTGTATGAGAATGACCAAGTAATTAAACAGATCTTGTGTAATGGTAACAAATTCATTATGACACTTCATATGCTGTGCTACAGCTAACACTTGCCAGTTTCAAAAGGCTTCCAGGAGGGAGGTGGAAATCTTGTATACCTCTTCTCCAGTAAAACAAGAAAACTTCAACCCATAAGCTTTTCTGTAGGAGCTCAGCAGGCCCTACATCATCTTTCTGAGGTTAAGCACTTGCCTGTCTCAATTCTGGTGGCCTGTAGGTTTTTGCCCCAGAAACTCTTGACTGCCCCAACCACAGCCTCCTCTCATCCCTGTTGCAATCATTTCTCCCCTGCCTTGTTATTATGTCAATGATGTTTCATAACCACATCAAAACCACAAAAAAAAATCCTATGCGGTGACTACAGTAGCTAAAGCTTTGCAGACCCTGACTGTATTCAGATCCAAATTCTTTTCCTACAGATCATGCTATAGATTTCAATAAAGTCAGAAATATGCTACTTTTCCCTCATCTCTCTAAAAATAAATTGGGTTAGGGAACTTGTTTCTGATGCTGCTAGTGTTGGAGACCAAGATTCTGTCAACTTTCACATCACAAAAACAGCAAACAAGTTGTATCCTGGTACCTTGTTAGATTCTATGTCCCCTTGCACCAAGAGATCCTGAATATACAGTGTTTCAGCTACCTGGATTTTTTCAGTAGTGAAATACTTCCAGCTGTAGAGATATGATTAAAATAGCATCCCTACTGTTCCCAGAGCTTGACAAAGAATCTCTGAAGTTCTGAAATGCAAGTTGACCACAGAAATATGTCAGTGGTCACTTTGTCTTCATGATGGTTAACTAGACCAACAAAAATTATTCTCATTGCAGGATTCTGAAAGGTAATCTATTCAATCAGTAAGCTTTTTGTCAGATCTTACGTCCTGGAGAAACTAGGGGAAGGGAATTAGAGACTGGAATGCTGTACTTACCACTTAGACCCACTAAAGTCAAAACTCTTTAAATATAAATGCTTCCTGAAACTTAAGGATTAGTGGAATATACTGAATCAACATTATTTTTATCTAGGGTCTACTATGCAAACTCAGTAGCTGTGTCAAGTGCTCTGCCTATGGGGCAAACTGAGAAGGAGTTTGGAAAACAAAACTCATGGCTGATTAGGCTTTCACTAAGGACTCTTGCCTGAGAGATGTTCAATTTGATACCCTTTAATTGTTTCATCATGTTTGCACTTTGATATTGCAACTGTGTTTATGCAGATAGAGTAAACCCCTGCTGTAGTTCCTGGCACGCATGAAGTTAAAATTAATGGGAAGGATTTTAAAAAAACCAAAACAAAACCAAAAAATGCCAAGAAACAACCACTTCACAGATTGACTAAACATGTGCATTACTTCAGTAGCTCTTCAAAAGGCAGAAGTAGCCCCAGTTTGCACTACCCTAATGGACAGAACTCCTAAGTTAGAACTACAGGTTGTTTTTTTTAGTGACCTGACATTCATTTGCAAATTCTACCATATTGAAAACTGGAAAACACTTCATTACTATAAAGTGATTTTTTTTGGGGGGGTAGGGGGATGAAGGGGGTGAGGAGGTGTGAGAAGAAATGAAAACTTAAAATAGATTGCAGAAAAGATGTAGAATCAACTTCAATTCAAACAGGCCATGTGCTTGTTCAGTAGAAACAAAAGGCTTAAAGCAATGGAAGGAGACCATACCAAGTAGCTTCTCTCCCAGCATGCTCAGTTGATCTGCATTAAGTCCTCTCTTTGTTACAGAAGAAAACTGCCAACTCAGAACTTCAGAAAGTTTAGACCACTTTGCGTAAGGTGGATTCAGAAAGAAGGACAAGTTCTAAAATGGAAGTGAAAAATACAATATACAGTTAACAAACACTGATTTTTGGAATCCCACTTGACCTTACAAAAGTGTATTGCCAAAACAGAATGCAGATTTAAGAATCTATGTCAGCTTGAGATGACTCGAGACAACTCTGGAATAGCAGGCTGCTATTCTGACAGGAACTCTTCACCAAGAAAAGCAATCTCTGGGACTTTGCTTTGCCCACATCTTGTCCCAGTGAGTAGACTTCCTAGATTACTCATTGTATTTGAATTCTTGAACGTTTATTTGGCTTCTCACTGTAGTGTATATACTGAACACTGTGCAATATCCTTATGTGGGTTTCAAACATTGCTCTGTTTAGGATAGGGGACGTAAGTCATTGTGCCTCTCTACACCTGAAAGCCATTAAGAGTCATATGCATGGAAAAAAATGCAGCAGCCATTTGTATACAGACAATGCTTGAAAATTACACATAGTATTTCTAATACTTTTTTTTGCAAATACCTTGGGATCAGTAGACAGCATATTGAACCATAAGATAGAAGCCCATCCACTTGGAAGCTGGCTCACGTTTGAGATCACAACAATGGGAAGGGATGTGGTCTGAAAGGGACACAAAAGGAAACGTGTCAGACTATCCTGTACCCCTGTCCCAGTCCTCATCTAGATTACCCACGAACATGTTTCCGCTGTAATCCCTTGCTTGCGTGGTCTTAATTCTTTCACTTGAAGTTTGTATGTAGGGGAGAAAGTGTTGGTATAATGAAGTACTAGAGAGACTCAGGTGATTTTTGTCTGATAAAGACTTCAACTTAGTGTCAGTTATAATAGCACTGATAGTAACAGAATTCATGGCATATTGCTTCTGAAATAAATGGAAACTGACACCTAGAGAACTTAAAACACAGGGTTTGTTATCAGATACTTTGCAAAGTGCATCTACTCTTATCTACCCACACATTTGATAGCATTCTCACTGTATGTGTGTATACAGAGATGTTGTGAAGTGTCATTCATATATTTTGAAGTAACTGAAAGTGTTTGATAACCAAGTATTTGGGGGAAAAAAAAAGAAAGTTTACATTGTCAGCATGAGTGACATACAGGAATTTAAGTCCATGTCTGTTTCATCTAAGACATACCTCTAGGTCTATTACCAAGCCAGGCTGGCACAGCTGTGTCTCAAAACTCAGAGAGTGAAGCTCTTCTGTTACAATGAGAGGACCCTTTGAAGAAAAAAGTAATAAAACAGAAAACCTTTCAGGGACTGAAAATTGCTTGGGGGAAGGTAAGAGGATTTATTATGGGGGAGAAACCTTTTCTGCCCAAGGTTACTTGCTCTGGACCTCAGAAACAGTTTACAGGTCAAAGTCAAGTGACAATGCTAACTTCCTAAACTGTTACTCTCTAGACACCTTTTTTTTTTTTTTTGGCTCCTACCTTGAAGCCACAGAAAAATCTGTCCTTGTCAGAAAGTCCTGTTAAAGCTAGGCACCAATGATGGAGAGTCCTGATGGACACCATTCTAGCATTAGTTCTCATTTGTAGATACCACCTACATGGATTGTTTCCTAGAAACACTGAACTCCTCTCCTATTGGTCTGTCATCCTGTGTGTTTTTGCTCATTACTGAGCAGAGCATTGTCTTAAATGCCTGAATGCTTTTTTAATATTCTGCAAAGGCTTTATGAACAAAGTTAGTGCTTCTTACCTCATTTGTTCTGCTACCTGCATTTTTCTGTTCTTTCAGTTGCTGCAAACAAACAAAAACCCCGGTTACTTGTTTACCTTGGCCACAAATGCAAGTGGTAGGGGATGCAAATGTTTGCATGTTCTAGTTGTTTGACTGTATGCAAACTTGCTGCACTAGTGTCTGATCCGATTTGGTTCTAAGCTGCAAAAGCCAAAAGATTAAACTATGGGTAACTACTATTCTTTTATCTTTTTACTATTAATCTGTGAAAATACATACTGCACCCTTATGTTACAATGCATTTATGTAAGCGGCCTTCTAAGAACAGAAACAGTGTGAACTCAGGAAGGATTGGATGAAATACTGGTTTATCAAAATACCCCTCTGAATTGGACAATAAACTCCAAACAGTGTCTGTTCTGGACAATGAAAGGAGGGAGGGAGAATTCCATGTTCACTGTTTCAGGACTTGCCTCTTTCATTTCCTGTTGTAATGATGAAACCCATCTGATTTATCTCACAATCTGCAGATTGAAAGTGTTGTATAGTTTGCCGAAGGCACCAAATTTCTTGTAGCTGCCCCCTCCTATTTAATTTTCCTATTTCTGTTTCAAAGCTCTTTAGACTATTCTAAACTTTCCTACCTATGGGCCTTCCTCTGAAAGGCCCAAAACAGCATTTCAGGCTGCTTTTTCTTTCTCCTCCAAAGAACTCATTGCAACATAAGCTGTATGGCAGCAAATACTTGTTTGCCTTTCTGGCCCTATTTCAGTGACAAATGCAGTAACATTTCAACTGGAACAGGCCAAAGATTTCAAAAAGGGAAGAACAAAGAGAGATATGTTCACAGTTCCTCTTATACAAAACTAAATGGTGACTTCAATAACAAAAGCAATTTCTCTCCTTTCTACCATGTCTTCTACCCACACAATTAGATGGATGTCAATAAAAGAAAAAAATCCCCTACCAAGTGCCTGAATTCTGCTGCTAGACTTCCATTAGTAGATTCTTCCATGTTCATTACTTTTGTGTTTGTTCCCAAAATATTAAATTTCCTGAACCTTCACAAAGAGAGAGAGAAGAATTAAGGGTCTCTAATTCATTGAAAGAACCCAATATTAATATACCAAACTGTAATGCCACGTACCCTTTGACTGAGTTCTTCTCACTTACGTCTCTGTCAAAAAAAAAAAAAAGACAACTATTTTAAAAATTCTGCCACAGACAGAAAATGTGGGTGTTTGTTTTAGTAGCTGAGAACTGGTAACGTGCTTCTGTGAAATCTTTTGTGCAGAAGAGGAGGCAATTAGTTCAAACAGTCAAAATAAATATTGTGTTATATAGGCTATCTACTGAGGCGCAAATTTTGCTATGGGGGCTTTATAGTCAAAGCAAGCCCCTTCTTTTACTACATAGGCTTTAACTCTTGCTCTGAGGAAAAAAAATTATACAGCACTGTCATTCTATATCTGCTTTCAAACCATACAGCTTCTTGAATAAATTGCTGTGTCACTTGAATCAGTTTTCCCGCCACTCCAGATTTTACTGAGTTGCATTATATCTGGTGCACTTCTCAAAGCCTCAGCTCCCACATCCACGTAAGAATTTACTTTCCCCCACTCCATGAAAGTTTCTGGACAGAATGCCCCCTAAAGACTCGAATGGGAAGACAAAAACTCACCTGCTTTCTTAAAAGCACGTACCCCTTTCATGACCTTACAGCCACTGTCATTATTTTGGAGAGCCTGTTATATTTCTTTCCCTGCCCTTAAAGCAAATGCTGAGGCCCTCTGTACTTACGACATGTCTCTAACGGCAGAGAGATATTTAGAGTAAGGGCATGGGTAAGACAAAGGGAGGCTGTACCTGCTGTCACGGGGAACCAGCCTGCTCCTGGCCAACTCAACATTTGAAATATGACTGCCTTTTGGATTTCTGAACACGGGGCCTGCTTACCATTAACATACATAGCGATGAGAAAAATGCAACGTACTTATCAAACAGAACTTTCACTTTCAAGTTGTAGTTCAATTCCTGCAATTTCACCAGCAATCTGGAAAGAGAAAGGGTTGTGGTTGGGTTTTTTTTTTTAAATTACTCCAATTGCAAAAAACAGGTTCTCTCCTATTGCACTGCTTATCACAGGTATATTTAAGCTGCACAACTTGGGGCCACACACAGGCTCCAAGCTTGCTCCACACAAGATGGCACAGATGTAGTGACAGGATAAATTAGCAAGGTCTGTAGACACTGATCCCATGTCCTGATTTAGAGAGGAAACTAGATGGACAAATGAGTTATTCTTTTACATGAGAAAGCGGTCTGTATGTGTCTTCTGCCGTTTGGTTGTGCTTCTTGTACACTCAATACCCCCACTTCTGGTAAAGGGTCAAAGCTAAATGGAAGTTAAACTTTGCTAGAAGAAATCCCCCTGCCACATGGCACTTTCTTTCTCTTCCTCCTGACCTCAGCACTGAGGCTATACTGCAAGATGTGCAATCCTCTTGGCTGTAGAAGCCAATGACATGAAAAACTTACCACAAAACAAGAAGGGGGAAGGGGAAAACATACCTCAGCTTTACTGTAAACTGTACTCCTGTCTTCAGGACTAATGGCCTCTGAGGATGTGTTGGCATGCAAGGCTGCCTCTCTACCACAAAGGAGCTATGGAAAGAAGAAATTGAAGGTGCTTTGATTTATCAATGTTGTCTTTAAGGAATAAGAAATTACATAAAAGGTGAACTTCAAAAGAATGGTAATTTACCAGTAGTACTGTACTCTTTATTAATTTGGTTTCAATCTATAGAGAAGTCTGTGCATTGGTTTCTATCACTTGTATCAATGGGTCTAGAAATATTGCAAGTATGAAGTGATTTGGTAAGGTTTGGCTTTTCCTAAATACATTGATAGGGAGGGAGAATGCTACCTCAAACCTCTCTGAAATCAAACAGCATGTAAATACTGTGATGCAACTAGCATAATCCAAGTGAGGACTGTTGCTTTGTTTGCCATTCCCAGTGCTGTGAGACAATGCTATATAACAACACATAAAGCCCAAGAGCTAGATGAGCTATCTGGGGATTTGATGAGGGCTAGCTAACCCCATGAAGCAAATTCCTCAGGCTAACCTGTTCTGATACACCCCAAACTGTTGTAGTCTTGGGCACCTTTTATGTAGTACTGTGCTGTGTAGACGTAAATCCTTAAGTATTTCTATTGTTACCGAGTCCTAGACAGCATGGACATTTTTCCTGGACTCCTCCATGGAGACAGGCAAGACAACTATAAATGGCAGCTTATAGATAAACAGCAGATGGACTTCTAGAACTCTTACTCATTGCTTTCACTTCATTGAAAAGCAGTACCTGTGTTCTCCAATTGAAGGTTAGTGGTCAAAGCATCTGAATGGTACTCTGAAAACCTTGGGTTCTAGCCCCCCCCCGCCTCAGTGTGTTACCTACTGTATCTAAGTCCCTGTTCTTATCGCTAGTTTCAAGCCTTCTGCAGCATGAATTTTTGTCTACAGTATCTTTATAGAATTGGAGTCTGATCTTATGTGGGGCAACTAACAGCTAGAGTAACTTGGCTCATAAGAGATGGTACAGAGATAGGGCTGGCCTCTCTGTGCTGGAGACAAATAGGATGTGTCCAGAGACAGAGGGTTGGAGAATCCAGGGTGTATTTATCCTGGGCATAGCTTGGTGCAGATGGCTTCTTGCCTCCATTTACTTGAACTTTGCAGGGCTGAAGCTTAAAGCAAGAAATGGACTAACAGATGAGGAGTTTGATTCTGTAACTAATGCATATTGTATCATAGCTCCTGCTAACTTAAATGATGACTGATCACAAACTTTCTGTGGGCCTAAACCTGTGGAAACCCTAGGTAGGGTAAAACTCACATCATTTAGTTTAATGTTTCTGACAAACTTAAAACCTCAGAAAATGCAAAGTTAGCATGCGGGAAATATTGAGGGAACAGAAGGGAAGGTGCTCTCCATCCATTTATTCATGCAAACACAAAAAGACTCTTCTTGTTTGTTACCTCTGGATGAGTTGCTTGAAAAGACTGTATGTTCGGTCCTGCAGAACTTGTTTATTTTTTGTGATGGGATCAGGGTCATAGGTAAACTTCTGTTCTAGTTCCTCAAGCTTTTTGAGCTGCTGACGAACTTGCTGTAGACTTTCAGCAACGATGGTGAACCTACAATTACACAATCTTATTACATTTAGCATGTTTTTGTATTGTAACAATGCTGAGACACCATCCAGGTGACAGTCCCTGTGGAATAGGCAGTGCACAGAGAACACTTCTGACTTATTGGAAAATGTGGTGAAGCAAACAAAATCAATGAAATGTAGTTATGCTGTGACAGAATGAAAATGTGTAATAGAAATAATCAGTATATTTCACAGATCTGCTGTTCCTTCACAACATGTGTCAAGTTCCCGTCCAATGCAGTTTTTGACTAGAGACTTACCAGTTCTGTAGCTGGTCAAGACAGGCATTGGGTGGGCCACCAATACATGCAGTCTGTTGCCTGTATTTCCACTCTACCAGCTCCTCGTTAATAAGAGCACTCTGTGTATGCTCTGTGGTGTTCAGCAGCTGTACTATCTTGTTCACCACTTCCTATAGAGAATATTAAATCATTCTGTTTATTAAAAATACTTGATACAGGAAAGCTAAGTGCTGTTTTTGCAGAGTTTTGCAAGACCGATAGGATTAGCTAGGACCTCAAAGTAATTGTTTCAGTCAACAGAAGCTGTTTTCTAAAAACACCTGCTTATTTTAGTTGGAGTATTTGCTAGATTAAGTGGAAAAAAAAATGGAGAAGCAAAGCATATTCAGGACTGTTGAATTCTGAAGAGCCAGCGTCTCACATCTATGTATGTACCAAGTGTGTATCTGGGATGATCCAGTGCTTGCTGTAGCCTTGAGCACTGCAGTGAGAGTGAGCACGTTTAATATAGCTGCAAACTCTTTAATCTGTGCTTTCCTCAAGAACATGACTATTGGTATGACACTTGTTCACTCTCATTGCTCTTCTAGCTTTACCTGACAGAGCTTGGTAAAAGTTTTTAAAAGAGAAATAAAATTCCTTACAGTGATTCCAGATTGCCAGTCAGGATGGAAAGAATAAAATCACAGTTCAACCAACAGTAGTAGAAAAGTTTTCTTTTATATAATTTATGTCAACCTAATGAAAATTAACGTGTTCAAAAAGAAGTGCTGTTGCCTTCTGAAAGAAAACTTGAGCACTACCTTTCTCTTGAGGTCCAGGGATAAAAACATCTTCTTGAGATTCATCTGTTCTTTCTTATATTCTTCCTGTGGCACACCGTTGGGCTCATGCTCTGTAAAGTAAGTCCAAATTGTGAAGGTGAGGCTGAAGGAGTGATGAAGTATGGGTAGGGGAAACACTGGGGGGAGGAGAGGACCTGCCTGGCTAATGTCAAGTGAAGTATATCTTTAAAGCTTAAGGGAGGAAATATTTACTGCCTCCTAGATTTTTTTCAATTCCTTCTTTCCCT